TGCTGAACTGCCGGAAACTGATTGTGTCCCATTGTTGTGTCGTTTCCTCTGGCTTAAATCTCAGTGGTCACTTTCTGACAAACCCAGTGCAACAAAGGGCTGCGTTTGACCACTCCGAATCGTGACACAAGCGTCCGTCTTCGTGCGACCCTGCACCGGAGACCTGGAGAGCACTGTGATGGCAATCAGCCTGGTGTCACGCGCTTGGACGCTGTGTTTCCAGTAACAGGATTTATCTCATTAGGGGGTTTTCTCCCCCAAAACCTGAACTGGGTCAGCAGTTGTCAGCTCAGCCTCGAGCATGGGAACGTACCACCCGTTTGTCTCGTGTTTTTCCAGCTGTGTTGGGGAAGCAGAAGTGGTGGGGGAGCCTGTGCTTCCCAAAAAACTTGTTTCTCCTCCCCAGACCCCCATGTGCGTACTACTTGGTCTAATAAATAGTAGCTCTATCAGAAACTGCTTTTTTTCTCTATACTGGGGTCACTGTGGCTACGACAGCACCTCTGCATGAAAAATATCACCACTGGGGCAGTCGTCTTGCTTTTTAACGGGTTGAAATTTCCCTGTCTTTGCACTTTGCCTTTGGGTGTAAAATAGGAATAATGGTTTAATCGCTTTTTCCGCTCTTCTCACACTTTAGCAGCTGGGCTGCAGAGACCGAAGCTGTGTTGCTCTGGTTTAATTTGCTCCCGTGAGCGTTGCTGCTGGCTCCAGAGGGATTTTGGGAGCAGCCAGGTCTGTGGTGAGCATCGGGCTGGGAAATATTTCCCCTGGGATGTGGTTATTGCATCCTGCTCATGAACCAGAGCAGTCACAAGGCTTTCTGTAAAGGGGATCCATCCCACCGCATAAAAAATTTCCCTCTCATCTGGTTGATGCTCAGCCCCATCCAGGCTCCGGAGGTGTTTCTGATCCTCTCCCCAACAAAAGCCTGGGAGAGGAGGGACGGCGGCTCAGAGCCGATCGCGTGGGGTGCAGACCTGATCCTGCCCGTGGGGATTGGGTCTGGGATGAGCTTGGCACATCCCAGCTGCAGACCGGGGGCTGGAGAGGTCGGTGGGTGCTCTGAAAGAGGTGGGAGAGTGGTCTGGAGACGATGGCCAGGGGAACAGTGTTTTTTGGGGTGATAGAGGAGCCTGGCAGCCCATGTATTTTCCCTTGCATGCTTTTGCCCTTCTCCCTTAACCTCCCCTGAGCTCAGATTTATGGTTTTTTACTCTGAAATCCTGCCTGGCACCCTGGGCTTGGGCATTTGGCAAGCCGGGAAGGAAAGGTCAGCCACAGTCTGGAGGCTGTGTGGCTTTTTGTAGAAAGCAAAGCTTAAAAGACCAAATGCAGGGGCAACGCTTGAGCCTTTTCCCCCCCGCAGTTATTTACCTTCTCCTCCACGCTCTCCAGCATGACCAGCTGAGGTCACTGGTATGAAGAGTTGGCCTTCACCACCTTCCAGGCTTTGGTTTTTATGGAAAACCAGTAGCACTTGACTGCAAAGGGCTGCCAGCCTGCGGGACAGAGCCGGCAAGCTGAGATGCCTGTGGCAGAGGATGAGTGTGAGTGGTCCTTGGTGCCCTGGGTGCCACGGGGCGAGGGGCAGAGCTGGGGGCACGAGGCTCTTGCAACACCCCGGGGACATTCGAGGCTTTTCCTGCACTTTGAGCCCCTCCAGGTGCATTTTTGGAAAATGGGGGCTGTGCCCATGCTGGAAAAATCTCCCCTGGTATGGGGGGGAAAGCAAGAGGAGCAACAGAGGAAGGTGCTGAGGGTTGTGCAGGGAGAGGGTGATGTGGATGGGGACAGCAATTGGGAGGACTGGGGGGGGAGGGGGTCTCGGGGTGCTTTCCCAATGTTCCCGGCCTTGTTGTTCCCCTCTTCCATGCGGAAAGGCGACAACAACCCTCCAGCACCCCTACCAAGGTGGGGTCTCCATCCACAGCCCCAAAGCTGTGGGTGATGCTGAGCCGCGGTACCTGCTGCCTGGTGGCTTCCTTGCTCACACAGCTGCTGCCTCAGCTGCAGCTGGAAGCAAGTCAGGGAGCGTTTGAACTCCGGGATGTCCCATCGGCTGCTGTTGGTCTGGCAGGTTTCCCAGGAGCATGTGCTGTCTGGGGCCTCCATGCCCTGGCTCTGGACTGGGAGTCGTTTCTGCCTGAAATGAGGATGTATCCAGCTCCCAGCAGTCGCCCGGTACCACCAAGGACCTGCAACGCAACCCAAACTGAGAGTGAGGGAGGAAGCAGCTCTTCTCTGGTGTTTGCACTGTTTTTAACATCCTTTTTTTTCAGCAGGCAGGTCCCCCCGTCTCGCTCCGCTTAGTGAGAAAACCTTGCAAGTGTCTGCGGGAGCAATGGAGCTGACAAAACCCGCAAGCCGCCTTGCTCGCTTGTCGGGGGAAGCCGCAGTGAGCAAAACTGCAAAGCCTCAGAGCTCAGCTCCTCTTGTTCCCATGCTGCACCCAGAGGTGCCCTGGGGAAGGGAAGAACCCAAAGCAAAGCCCTTGGGATGCTCGATGTGATGGGGAGAGGTTGCCGGTTGCTGCATGGCTCCTACTCAGCCTTGCTGAGCTGCAATGGTCCAAAAAAACCAAACCAAAACAAAAAGTGAGTACATGAAGCTCTGCACGGAGGGGTAGCGGTGTCCTTGGGGGCTGGCTGTATTTTTTTTCTCTTTTCCAAGAAAATCGGGCTATGGAAAAGAAGCCTGCTTGTGCTATCCCCAGGCTGGAGACAGGCAGCGAACCTGCTTGAGAGCAAAGCATTGGGCTTTGGCCACCATCAGCTCGGGAAACAGGTGGAAAAAAACATGAGGAAGTCTTTCCTCCCTGTACTTTCCTGAAGGATAAGCGTCCGGCAGCATCGGGAACGTTGGCTACTCCAAACCCCCTCCGTCACCGAGCAGAAATCCCATGAGGTCAGGAGGAGCCCAGCGCCTGCTGCGCAATGGCACCGAGCAAATTCACTTACCGGGAAGCTTCCCGCAGGCGCCGGGAGCTGAGCGCGGTGGCACACCTGGCTTGGGGCAGTGGTCAGTGCCATGGCCGGTCACTGCCCTCGTGGCATTAAGGTTCAGGCCAGCAGAGGGTTTTGATTTTTTTTTTTTTTTTTTTTTTTTTTTTTTTTTTTTTTTTTTTTTTTTTTTTTACTCCCATGGAGCAAAACCAAGCTCAGAGGCCAGAAGCGGTGGTGGGTTTTGTGTCTGGAGTCACAGCTGAAACCCCACGCTCGCTGTCGTGCCCTAGCTGTTGCATCTCCCTTCGTGCTTTGCTCTTCCACCCTCTGCGGCAGCCCACAAAGAACCGTTTCCGAAAGCAAAGCTGCTTTTTCAAGGTATGGAACAGCCTGGGGTGAGAAAGGAAGGTGCCTGAAGGTCTTCCCCCGTTGGGGAAAGCAGCCTCCTCCTCTTCCTGGTGCTGTCACGGGCATGGACTGATAGATAGGTAGAGATTTTCTTTCCTACCTGCTTTTAACCAGCAGCAAAGAGCAAGGATGCGATGCGCTTGATTTACAGGACACCGGTTAATTTTGGGGGTGTTTTCTAGCAGCTCTTTGGGTCCTAGCGCTGCTCCCATCCCACTGCAGAGAGGTGAGAAAAAACGGAGCTGGTGATGCGGGAAACACAAAACCTGTTGCATTCAGCGACAAAAATCCTAATTGGCTTGTTTGGTCTTTCTAGAGGCAAATTTGCAGGAGATCCACATGGATTTGTGCTCCTGCGAATGCTTGAAATGCGGCTTTAAAAATCTCTTCGAGGAAAGGGGGTGACAAAAAGACCAGTGATGCTCCCCAACAAAATAAAGGACAAGGTATAACATACCTTCCTAAGCGGGATTTTGCTTTCAGGGTGGGATCAGGCTCGTTAAGAGTTGGATCTCTTGGTCGATCCCCTGCTTGAGATGCTTACGGGGGGATGCATCACCCTGGAGCTGCCCAGGTTTTTCTGCTTTCAGCATAAAACCCCAAATTCAAAGGAAATGAACCCAAGCTGGGGATGAAGACGGCTGCTGGAAACTGCTCAAAACAGGTAAGCGCAAAGCTGGGCTAACCCACCTTTTGAAAAACCTCAAAAAGGCAGCGATTTCTCCCAAATCGCCTTTCCAACCCCCGGTTTCCACGAGAAGACGTTGAATTTGAGCAGTCAGCCAGGAGGAGGGGACACAACCCAAACAATGTGCCAAGGGCCGGGTAGATCCAACGGGATTTAGGTGACTCATTTCTGTACCATGAGCTGGTGAGGAAAAAAAACACTCAAATTCCCTGAGGGAATCGCTTGCTTTAACTTCCCGATAACGAGAGAAACTTAGAAAAGGAACCTCTGCTCCCATGTCTGCTTTTAGATCTACCAGAGGCTGAGTGCTGAATCTGATTATTTTTATTGCAACTATTTTTCTTGACTGGAGAGCAACCGGTTCTGGGAAAACTAGGGTGGTTCCCTTTCAGGGCTTCCTGTTGTTTGATGTATAATTAATAAGATTAATAACTGTGGGATGTTTTGGGAGCTCTTCTGCTCCTTGGGTTCAAAGCGTTGGATCTTCTCAAGTGCAAAAAAGGGAAAAAAAGGGAACAGGAGGCACCTCCCCACAGCAATGGGTAG